ACATAACCAAGACTCGTAGTGTCCATATCGTGTTCTGAATGCAGTCTTCTCTATATCTTGCTCCCGGACTTTTAGCTGATGATATCCTGACCTACGATCGATCTATGAGAAATAGCTCGAACCTTGCAATTGATCAAATAGGTCATCAATCCTCGGCAACGGATATCTATTCTTTATTGTTGCCTTGTTCGGCTCTCTATAATCGATGCACATTCTCATACTTCCATCTTTCTTCTTCACAAATAAGACCGGAGCTCCCCAGGGTGATGAACTAGGTCTAACGAAACCTTTGTCCAATAACTCCTGAAGTTGCATCATCAACTCCTTCATCTCCGTTGGTGCTAATCGATACGGTGCTTTTGCTATTGGCATGGTTCCTAGTAACAAGTCTATTCTGAACTCCACTTGTCTATCAGGTGGTAATCCAGGAAGATCTTCGGGAAATACTTCCGGATAATCACACATCACTGGAATACTCTGCATCACCTTCTTTTCCTTCTTAGCATCGATCACGAATGCTAAATATGATGTCAATCCCTTGGTCAAACACTTTCTGGCTTTCATTAGAGAAATGATTCCAGAATTTACTCTGGGTTTGTCCCCATACACCATAAACGAATCTTTCCCAGGCGGGTTTACTTTAACTATCTTCTTCTTGCATAATATCTCAGCGTCATTGGCGCTAAGCCAATCCATTCCCAGAACGACGTCGAAACCATTTAGTTCTATAGGCAATAATACCTTGTGAAACTTATTCCCATTCAAGTCGATTAAGATGTTTTTCATGCGATGGCTAACAAGTACAAACTTTCCACTAGCAACTTCAACTAATAAAGCATTATCTAGTCTATCAATAGGCAAAGCTAGTTTTCTACCAAACTCATGCGAAATAAAGGAGTAGTTGGCTCCATAATCAAACAAAATTTGAGCAGGCAATTCATTTACGAGAAAGGTACCTGAAGCGACATCAGATTCATGTTTAGCAGCCTCAAGTGTCATCTGGAAGGCTCTTGCCTTCGGCTTTGGTGGAATGTTGGGCTTAACTGCCTTCTTCTTCTTCTTCTTCTTCGGACACTCTCTCAAAGTGTGCCCTTCTTCATTGCAACCAAAACACATCCTTTTGTTGGAAGGACACTCATTGGCAAAATGCCCAATTTTTCCACACTTGTAGCAAGTTATATCCTCACTACATTTCCCAAAGTGCTTTTTCTTACACTTATCACACCATTCGCTTCGCCTCCTTTTCCTCCAAACTTTTTCGAATCAGATTTCGAAAATTTGCTTCTCTTACCGGAACCAGATGTTCCCTCAAACTTTCTCTTCTTACCAACCTCAACCTTGTCGGTGGTTCTCCCCTTAATCATGTTCTCAACAGACTTGGCAGCCCAAATAGCTGCCTCTAGAGTAGGTGCCTGACGAACTGGCACTGCGTACTCCCATGAGAGTCCCTTTGCGTACCAGTCAACCTTTGTCAACTCCTATAGAACGATGTGCAAAGAAAACTCCATATTATCGGTAAAGTTATTAGTGTATTCATCAACTGACATGCCGCCTTTCGTCAATGTCAGAAACTTATTCTCCAATTCCAACAGATTTTGAGCCGAGCAGAATTTGCGCTTGAACTGCACCAAGAATTATGCCCATGTCAATTGCAGTGGCTAATTAGGGCTTAAAGTCTTCCCTAGAGTGTTCCACCAATGAAGGGATCCACCTCAGAACTGACGCACTGCGAACGTGGTCTGCAACTTGCCTCTACAGCCAGAAGTCATAAAGGCTAACTCCATTTCGGATATCCAATCCATCACTCCGATCGGGTCCTCCTTTCCAGTGAAGGTTGATGGTTTGCAAGTTAAAAAGTCCTTGTACTTGCATCCCATTCCATCATTCCTTCCATCATGGTTGTTTTGCCTAACTATCGGTGGGCTGGCTTGACCGACAGACCCACTGAAGTTTCCACCTTCCGAGTGCCCTTCATTTAATTCGGGATCTTCCACATGAATTGACAGTTCTTCACGATTTTGTTGAAGCAACCACCTAGTCTCCTCCATTTGACGATTCAACATTGTTTGAATCATCATTTGTACACCAGCCATTGTTATTGGCTCCGGTGCTGCAGCTACAACAGGTAACTGTTTAATCACTGGTGGTTGATTCCTGTTTTCATCAGCATTTCCAACTCCACTTCTTGTTCTCACCATTTTTGATCTACACACCGAATAAGGTGAAATTAGATCCTTATTCACGATAGATATTCAAATCATCCTTATCACTCCGAAACATTTACATGCTAGTTCTAAATTCGTAGACGTACGCTTAGAATCCTACACACATAAGGCTTCTGGATCCAGTCGGCAACAGACCATAGATCCGAACAAATAGTATCATATATGGCAACATATAACATTTAGCACATAAAAGCATTTTAGGCAACTTTCCTAAAATAAACTAGTGCTCGTGTCTAAAACATAACAAACACATATCTCAAAATTTCACTTAGCATTCTAAGTTTAAGTGTAGAAATCCTACAAATTCCTAGTTCGCTTAAACTAATGCTCTGATACTAACTGTGACATCCCCAAAATCTCGGCCAGAAAAGACCGATTTTCATTTATGCTTTTAAAATAATTTCAGAGTAAATCCTTTTTATTTGAAAGAGTTGCGAAATTTGTTCCCAAAAACAAAGTATGATAAAATAATATTTACCAAAGCATTTCATAAAAGAAATGTATTTTCATTATATAATCAAAACTCGGGATGTCATGTTCCGATACAGACCATAAAGCATAAACGATAACATTACAAGTCATTCAACAAATATATACATATACAGACTTGTAAACAAAACAACTTGATGATTCATCCATCTTATGCCCTTGCGCCACTTCCTGTAATACAAATAAAACTGAGTGGGTCAGGCTTGGGAGCCTGGTGAGCATATAGGGTTTTCAACCCACAATAAATAATTATATTTAATTCCACCAACCAACAATAACCCAATTACCCATTCCCGTTATTCTCACTTTACGTCCCTAAAACAACTAACACAAGGGACCTAGTCTTAGAATATTTCATCGGGGCGACAAACATGCATTCGGGGGTTTCCCACAATATATGTCAAATAAGGCAACCATGAGGGGATGGAGTACAGCGAATGAACACCCAAGTTCATTAACACCTACAGGTGGCGAACCTGCTAGCGTTCCACAGACTGTCTAGAAAAGTCTTGTGTCATCTAAAACTCCGCTAGATGACTGAATCAAAAACAACATCGAGGCCTCTCATCTGTTTATCACACAACTATCTACCCATGTTCGACCCAACATATTAGTAGATAAGAATATATATTTTTATACATAGTTTAAAACCTGTATAGCATTCTCATTCAATACATATTCCAAAACAACAGATGAGACACATACACATAACACGTATTTCATAGAGAATAAATCGTATCTATAAGATAGAAGAAAGTGAATATACATTCATGCATATAACAACAAAATATACACATAACACGCATTTTATATTAAATACTTAATAATTATGCGTTAGAAGAAAGTAACCACACACTCACTTGATCAGAAGATGACCGGACAACACTACGACTTGTAGAAGTAGTATTCTTCGGCAGATCTGGAAAATATTCACAAAAACTGGACTCCTCCCGGGCAGAGCTTTGGCTCGGGAATCATACTTCTCGAATCTTCGGGGCTTCGGGACTTGCTTCGAGGATCGGGAATGATACTGGGGCTTCGGGATAATTCTTGCACGAAAAACGATGCAAAAACGCGAGAAAAAGAGAAGAAATGAGCAAAGAAGTCGGTTGCCCTCGACACCCTTTTATAGGGGCTAGAAGGTCAAATTACGCTGGGCGTAACTTGAGATTACGCTGGGCGTAATGACGATAGGGTCGCTGACTCCCCCTGGATAATATCGTATAATATATATTTAAATTAAATGTTACAAAAGGGATAAAATATCTAAATATATATTTCATGAAATGTTATGTACTTGGTTTGTGAATTGTTCTGAAAACTATGTAATTATATTTTCAAGTTGAAAGTGTCTCTTATGCTTCACATATTACAAAAGGGATAAAATATCTAAATATTTTATAAAAATGTGGAAATCGTTTGTCTGTATCAATTGCATAAGTTTTAATCTTATTGAAATCCTTTTGTTTTAGTTCACAAAATCATTTGTTTTTGGCATGTATTCTTCCCTAAAAACGTTAAAAACCATAAAATCGTAGGGGTATGAACTCACTGTTAGTTGTGTGCAAGCGTCGAAGCAACGAACTGGAAAAGAAGACCCTCGAGTAGTTGTATGTGGCACTTAACAAAATCCTAATACCAATTAAATACATATATGTATCTAAATTAGCGATTTCCTTAGATACAGTGTTAGAAAAACACTTGCTTTCGGTTACCGACACTCGATTGAATCAGGAAAAGTGGGTTTGCAGCCAAGATTCACGGTGTGAAGGAGTTTGTGGCCAT